GAGGCCCCAGTCGGAGCACTTTCCAGCACCCCTCCCAGAGACTCCAAGAAGGCCGGGTACTCTGCACTGCCGTTTGGCTCATAGGCACAAATGACAGTGAGAGACCTATCCCCGGCCCAAAGGTGCAGGGAAACGACCCTCTCATTCACCAGGGTAAACTCCAACACATGGTGGCTAAGCTGGGTGGCTATAAGCAAGCCCACACCAGCCCGCTGCCTCTCACAGTGGGCAACTCCAGAGGAGTAATGTTCCAGAGTCCAAGCTGTGCGTGGAGGCGAGCCCGACTATCTCTAGCTAGTACCTCTCTACCTCACGCTCCTTCCCCACCAACGAGGTGACAATCCATGTCCCCAGGGCTAGTCTTCGTGTCCAGAGATCGGGTCGTCGGGGCCCTTGCCTTTGACTGCTGCCCAATCCACTGTGCACCAACCCCTTACGAATCCTCCTGCAGGTGGTGGGCCCACGGGAGGACGTCCCCACGTCGCTCGTTCGGGCTAAGCCCGGCCGGGCCCCATGGGAAAAGGCCCGGCCACCAGGCACTCGCATTCGAGTCCCAATACAAAACGTCTCAATATATTGCTTTGTCTAGCGTGTGGTCTCCATACACCAGCGACTTATAGTTTTTATAAATAAGATAGCCTAATAGAATGTAAGCTAATATTTTTGGTTGTTCTCTACATAATCAAACTAGTGCTAGGAAAAGAAGAATAAAGTATAGGTATTCCACAGCTATTCATACATTGTCATTGAATTTTTTTTATTGTATGGTGATTGAATCAGATTGTACACACCATATCAGGCATCGAATTGTACCGAGAAAAGAAAAATCCCACTCTCTCATCCCTAACAGTCATATCTAGAAGCTGAGGTAACAGTTGATGCTCTATTCATCCTCATCCCCTCACAAAGCTGTTGTCAGGTTATGCTAGGAATTTGCTGAGATTAGAACACACAGAGCAGTATATCCTACTGAGGGCTGGCCAAACGAATGATGAGAACATTCTCTTTCCTCTTTGGTTTGGTAGATACTACAGTGAGAGAGGCGATGCTGTGGCCAAAGCTTCTAAACAGCCCCATGTGGTCAGTATATCACTGTGCTTGTTCTGATCAGAGGACTACATTTTCATTCATGAGCAAATATGAATTGTGTGTCACCGGCTGTAGCCGTGTTTGTGGTTAAATAAAAGACACTGGGCCCATACTGGATGTGCCATGTATGTTTTTGCAAATGCACTCAGTGCGTGTGGTGTGTGTCTTGCTCCAGGGGGACTACAGACAGCTGGTTCATGAACTGGACCTCTATCAGTACTGTGAGCTCCGCCTTGTGGTCCTGGACATCCGCAACACATATGTAAGATAAACCCACTCGGTTTACTACCCGCAAGGATTTTGATGGGGAACGTATGTTGAGTCAATGTCCAGCCAAGGCATCTTGTCAAAGTTGAAAATACTTCCAAGATGAAAAGCTGAACCAAAGCCTTTGACATCAATGTTAATTCCTTGTCTCTCTCCTTGTCTTTTCTGCATGCCCTGGCTTTGTTGATGTTTGCTGGGCTGTTAGGCCTCTGCTGGACTATAGTTTTTGGCCAATTTATCATGCAAGTTCTCCAGGCAACTTGGTCTGCAAATCTTGTAATGTTTCCACAGATTCAAATGAAACTTTTTCTTGAAATTTTCTCATACAAATTACTCAAGTCCATATATCATAATATCTCAGCAAATACTCCTTAGAATGGTCCAACACAGCCTGATACATTATCTTGATGTATTTCAAAACCCAGTTGGGGGGGTGCTCTACATGTTGCACGATCAGAAGTTTCTATCAGTCCACAGTCGATGTTTCTTGCAAACTTCTCGTCTTCTAGTTCTGCTGTTTTTACCCATTGGCACACTGCATTACAAAACAAAAACCTGCCTTATGGGCCTAGCACCTGTCGTAAATAACAATATTCATATACATTTCAAGCCAACATAGTTATAACAAAGAATAATATTAGACCATTCAAATAATATTAGACCATTCAAAATGTACATGAAGAGTTGAATGAATTTGGATTTGATATCCAAATATAGGCCTGAGTGGCACTTACAGTAGGCACTTGTATAGAGAAATTGAGAATGGTTAAAATCTAATTGTATAAAAATGTATCAAAATACCACTGATTTTGATTCTGTGATCATGTAGGATGGCTACATTAAGCTCTGCTTACAGTACATGTCCAAGCCTCATGTATCAAACTCAGTATTTCAGCTGTGGTAATCTTACGCTGCATTTCGAATAAGGCTACCACACATCTGTAAAATATTCCCAGCTGGCTAAATGGAATCCATTCCTTCTTAATAGGAGGGTAATCAAACCAGTTGTGTTGAACTGATCGATGCTCCCTCTCCTGTCCACTCATAACAGTTTACCTCCTTCCTCCGGCTAGTGTCCTGCTGTGTTTGATGCTGGTGATGAATACAATGGTGCCGGCCCTTTGAAATGATTATAGAGCGGCTCTGAATCTGGGAGTCGCTCTTTTAATACTCTATCAGACCTTTCTGCCTGTCCTGTTCATTCTTTTTATCATTCTTACACTAAACATCTGCTGTTGCCTCTTCCTTATTACACCATCTTTATTTTTTTCTGCAGGCTGTGCTGTTTGACATCATTAACAAGAACTATGACAAGATTAAGAAACCAAGAGGAGATGGGAAAGCTCTCATCTACTGAGACTGACAGCAGCACACCCAGGCTTTCTAACAAGATACAACTAGTGTAGTATGACACTTATTAAGTAACAAAACACCCACAAGAGTTGCTTCTTTTTCTTACTGTGCATGCATTTTGGTTCAGATTACAAAATAAAGCAACACGATTCCAAGTATGTCTGCACTGACTTTGTCTGACTAAATTTAAAATAAGTTTTTAAACCAAGTGTCCTACAGTAAAAGGGTCAAGGTCACACTGTTATCCACAAAATACCATTTACTCAGAATATAATTCTGTTTTTGGTTGTTTGTCAATGTTCATGGAGGTAAATCTGGACAGCCCTAGCTCCATTTGCATCTGTACCATTCGTTATTGTCCTTTCTGCTGCATGTAGCCCAGAGTGACCACAGCTGCTGGGAGAACTTGGGGATGTTTGCTCGCAAACAGCAGGAACATCCACACATAAAATAGAACTTCACACAGGAGTAAGGCCGCATTCAGACAGAGTTTCAAAGGTGGGGGAAAAAACACAACCCTCTCCATTCATTTCTATAGGGATTATGTTCACTGCAGGGCGCTATAGCAATACAACGCAACACTGTGCAGTGAAAAAACTAGATCTGGTTCAACCTTCACCGCATTGGATGGTGACATCATCCAGCAAAGGCGCTGCATTGACTAGTCATGTATGGGGGACAATCGGGATGTGGACACCCATGGAAAGAAGACTTTTGTTTACCTTGTTAGCACACGCATTCACTGCTATTCACTGTCGAATGTAGGCCACAGTTAGCGCACTATAAAGACACACCATGCATTTTTGTTAGTACTGGATGTTAAATGTTGTTTATCCATCAATGCTGGCACATCAGTGGCATTGATGGATAAACATCCAAGTAGATGTTTGGCCACATCTGAACAAGATGTTCCTAAGATATTGTGCTCACAAGAATGGGACGACAACCCTTTATCATGGTTATCATTGTCAGGGAGGCGTAAAAAGGCTAACATCAAAACTTATTTCTATCTAGTTTCATGGTTTTTTTTTTTTGGGGGGGGGGGGGGGGAGGTTATTTGGAGAAGTGCAAATGTACTATATCTCTATGTAGTTTACTGTAAACAGGACAAGAAATTGTATCACTGCAAGCTCGAAAATGTCAATTTTAATAACCCACAAAATAGCATCTTTGTGATACATTTAAAAAGAGGCTTTATTGCTCCTGTAAAATGGTGTGAAATATGGGCTTTGATATAAACACCTAAGAGTTGCACATACAGGTCAGTGTTTAAGTTTTTGTCCATGTTCACATCCCCAGCCCCTTCAAGTCCTGACTAACAGATTATCACACATACTCAGCTCTGAACAGATCACAGGTTTCTACTGGCCAACAATATTACTATACAAATTGACTCAGGGCTCATGTTGAGTGCTGACCAAGGATCGATGATAAAGCTGTAGATGTGAGCCGGCCTAATGAGGATCCACAGTAAGATTATTGGGAGGTTTATAGTTAAACAGTATGTTTGAGCAGTCCCACTCAACTATGCTTGCAATTTCCAACACAGCAACTCCACCAGGAAACTGCCCTTAAACAGCTGACCAAGTGGTGGACCGATAGAAATCTCTGGAAATGTACATGGTAACAGGTTTGGCAAATTATGCACTGGATTATTTCAACTTATTCAGTTTTTAAAAGTGCACTCAGAAATAGGACACAACTCATGTTATTCATAACTGCAATGTCAAAATCAAAGCCCCCGGACTATGATCTAAACACACTCCCTGAACACACATTCATTAAAACAGTATTTACACACTAATTACTGCCAGTTTCCTCACAGAATCCAATGTTTCATATAACTAAATTCCCATCACATTTCAACAGCTCATTATGTGTACTGCTTAGCAGTTTGAGTAGCACATTTTGATTGAAGTGTTTCAGGCCAAATGCAAAAGATCTGGCCTATTTGTTTTGTGGAAGGAGAGGCAACACAAAAACAAACAAGTAAGCCATCCCAGTGTGTCTAATGTGACCTTGTCAAGATAAGGCTGGAATGCTTGCTAAATTAACACTTCACAACCACAACAGAGTTGTAATCTTTACTATCCAGCATCGAATTTAAAAGGCATTTCAGGCTGTTCCAGTCCTTCCGAGCTTGTTGTTAGGATCAGTCTCACCCCGTCTGATCTGTCTTTCTCTGGCACAGCTTCCTTTTGTGTCTCGTCATCAGTCTCTGTCCCTTTCTCTCTCCACCTCTAGAGGATGGGTTTGTCTGTGCTCCCACATTTGCACCGCTCCATCCCACTGTGGACAAAGATCACAGCTGTTAGATTTGTTCGCAGCTGTTGCTGCCTTCCCATAATTCTTCTATTTCTTTCATGTCCTAATCACTTAGAATTATTTCCTTTTAAAATAGGTCAAGTGTTGACATTCAGTGCCATTTTCACCAAGGTTTAACTTCCCATCTTTGCAGCACTATCCAGCCAACTTAATGGCTGAAAATGCCTTGTTCTTCATCTGTTGAAATCTATTAAACCCCAGAGAACATCTATGGAGACACCTGAAGATGGTAGTACACAAGACGCTTTCCCTCCAGTGTGAGCTAGCCTGAGAGCATCTGCCATGAAGAATGGGATACACTGCTCGAAAACAAGTTTGTAAAGCATTTAGAGATTCACTAGATACTGTCCCTGCTGCCAAAGGGGCTGCCACAAAATACTGAATTAAGGCTCTGAATACTTTTGTAAATGATATTTCAGGTTGTTATTATACAAACTTAGCAAAAATGTTTTCACTTTGTCATTATGGGTCACTGAGTGTAGACTGAGGCCAATTGTATCAATTTCAAATTATATCTAAAACAAAATGCTAACAAGTGAAGAGGTATGAAATCTTTCTGTAGCAATTGTAGTTGTGAATTTAATAAACTAATCAACAAGACAGTGTCTTCAAGCACATCTCAGGACACTCTACCAGCTTTGTTGCACCGTAGTTACTTCCCGTCACTGTAGAAGACAACATTAGGAAACTTATGCCCGGTTTGGCCTACATGATTTATGACCGATAACACGACAGTGCATTGGAACCGACAAATGGCATCGGACATGACAATCAATTGTCTTAGTGTGTCACAGTAAACAACTAACGCTGCATCTGGAATGCCCCCATGAGTCTAGTATGTCAGAATTTTTACATCGTCTATGATGCCCTGGGGTGACGCTGAACAACAGGCGCACAGATGGTTCTTCTGTTTATAACATTTTTGGCATACTGGACTGAACCATATTCATTAACTATCACTGATGCAGCCCCACCTCCATGCACAGACACATTTTTAAATGATTTTCCAAACACAAGCAGCCAATATCACACACTCTTCTCCTGGTCCCTGGCACCAACATGTAGTCTGTCATATCCCTTGTCCAACAATGTGTGACTGTATAATCATGTAATCTGACATAGTGACCATCATATCAGACAAAAAAATGGTGCGATCTTACAGTGGGAAACCGTGGATGAGTAAGGGATTACAGAATGCATGTAAAAAGAAGAATGCGTTATATAAGGAATTCATAAAGGACAGATCAAAAAAGGCGGAAGAAAAATATAAGTCGTATAAGAACAAATTAACTGAGATTTTGAGGAGATGTAAGAAACAATACTACTCTAAAGTATTAGAGGATAATAAAAATAACATGAGAGGTACTTGGAATATATTAAATAAATTGATTAGAAATAGTCCCAGCAAGAGTAACTACCCTCAATATTTTATGGATAATGATACACAGGTCAATAGATAAGTTTAATAGGTTTTTTGTGAATGTTGGTCCTGGTTTCGCAAGAAGCATTTGTACAGATGATACATCCGTCACTATAAATAATAATACAATTGAAAGGAACATGAGTTCTATGTTCTTGAAGCCCATAGTTGAAAAGGAAATTATAGAGATAGTGAATAAATGTGGTAACAAAACATCTAGTGATAGTGATGG